CTGTCTCTTAAGCCGTGTGTGTGTGTGTGTGTTCGCCTATGACCCGTCTCGTATTACTTTTTCTTTCTTTCTTCTTCGTTTTCTTTTCTTTCTCCCAAATCGCTTGAATGCAAAGAAAGAATTATTCTTAAAACCCAAAATATTTTTCGGCCTTAAATAATTATCAAATGGTTGATAAACCGTAAAAAAAAACAAATCATATATCTATAAATCTATAAATTCAAATTCTTTCAAATCGTCAGGATGCTTAGATAAAAGATAGAAGATAGAAATATCGTAAAAAACAAATTTTAGGGTACATTTTATGTATCCTCAATATATCAGGGTTACTGAAAAATTTAGTGTTAATTTTAAAAAATGTTGACAACTTTATTTGTATTTAATTCCATTTAAAAATTTGTAAAAAGGATTAAAAAAAAGTTATTTATTTTTTAAAATTTTTTAAAATTATAAATTGCTCAGGGTAATAAAATTTTGCAGTTCATTTCTCCAACTGAAAATTAAAATTTTATTATTTTACCTAAATTTTCTAGGTACAGTAAACTTTTCATAACATTTTTTCTTACAGATTATGTTTTTCAAATTCAAATAATGTTAACTAAATTTTTAAACACGAAAATATTTCAAATAATATATATATATATGTATATTTTTAGAAATTTTCAAAATCCATTTTAAATTTTTAGTGGTGTAACTTTATTTGTTGGAATTCTAAACACGATAAATTCATCATCATGGAGTAAATTATGACCATGGAAATTGAGCAATTTCAAGAAAAATTATATCCATGAAAAAGTTCATTTGACAAAACTATCCTCAAATTAGCAAAAAATTTTTTTTTCCAAAAGAAATAAATTGACACTAATCAACAAAATTTAAATATATTTACAGTTTGTATATTCACAAAAAAAATATATATTTTCTACCTAATTTATTTATATATCATATATATATATATTTATCATCATAATGTTTACAATTTCTAAAAAATTAAGGATCAATTCAGTCGTGTTTTTCATTATTGTAAATATTATAGAACCGGATATAATATTATATAAAATATATATATATATATGTATATATTTATGAAATATATATGCCTGTCTGTATATTGATATAAGGAAGTTTTTGCAGACGCTATTACGGCTAAGGTGCAAGATGTTCCTAAAAATGAATCCCAAATTATTGTTTATATTGCATTATATTGAAACAACCTCAATTAATTTTTCCCTGGCGTGCGCCAACCAATGTTAAAAATCTGACTGGCATTGATTACAAAACCTAGCTAGAGGTAACCAATTTTTCATATAGAATGAAGGAAATAAAGTTGTCTGAAATGAATAATTTTATTATATAAATTTATATATTAACGAATATATATATATAAAAAAATAAAAACATCAAATTAAAAGGAAAACTTTTTAAATCGATATAATTCACCACATTCCTTTTAAAAGGACTAAGAAATCGTCGAAAATAATTGTAAAAAAATGTAAGAACAACAAAATTGATAAATTTTTATTGGAAATGTTTCTAAAAATGATTTAATAATGGATGTTTAACAAAATCTTACTTTTTTTATTTTACATTTTTTATATATATATAAAATATATAAATATATATTTTATTTAGATTTTTTTCCTAGATAGATCCTAAATTAAAAGATATATAATATCTAAATCATTAAATATATATATAAATATAAAAAATATATAAATATCGATACAAATGTAAAATAAAATATCCTATATTTTTTGAATAAAAAATAAAATGAAAGAATCCTAGTAAAAAATGTCAAACAATCCGATAATAATAAAAAAACTGAACATTAAATAATATTCCATGGTAAATTTTTATTCCATTGGAATATTTTTTTAATAAATATTTACCATTAAATTCAAAAGAAAAAATGAAAAATCAATTTTGAAAAATAACCTGGATTATTGGTCTTTAAAAAGGACCTTTTATATATATATGACTGTATATATATATATAATATATATAAAATATACTATATATATATTTTTTCGCCATATTGCTTTAAATAGTTTATTATAACTGTCATTATATATATATAATAGATATTTGAATAAAATTAGCGTGAATTATTTTGTAATAAATTTCATTTGTTTTCACGTTTTTTTGAAATGAAAATGAATAAATGAAATGTTTTATCTTTTTCTTTCGCAAGGAAAGTTGGTTTTGTCACGATATTTTCTTATCATTCCATCCTTCAAATCATTTATTCGTCCTTGACAAATTGAATCTGGATTATCCTCCTGTCCCCATATTCATTCTTTTTTATATAAAATCTATAATATATATATATATATATATATATTTATATATATTTTAAGTAAACTTTCTCAATCAACCCCAAAATTGAATAAATAGTCTTTATATATATATATACATTTCTGTTAACCGTTCCGATATATATATATATATATATATATATATATATATATTTATATATATATATACAGTATGGCATCTCTGACCTGCTAAAAAGTCATAGAAAAATAGCATGCAAAGATAACGGCAAGCGCTACTATAATTTGATTTCATGGAAGTGTTCAAACTTGTCGTCGTTCTCTGGTTTTTCTCTTTGAAAACGCTGACTAGGCAAGATTTATCGAACTTCAAACGGGGTATGACAGTTGCTTGAAGCGGCATTCCGTTTTCTGGAAGTATGGCGACATTCGGCACACTTTGACTCCCGACCAGATATAACAAAAGCATTCGATTTCTCGTCTCACTACGACTTGGACATTTAAGGATTCTTAAAAAGAAATGAAGTCACGTTTTCAATTTTAATCTGATTAATTTGGACCAACCGTTTTTTCAAACATGTTGAACGATTTACCATATATCAGTTAAGCTTGAGGTAAGGTTGGAAAATAAGTCATTACCCACAAGGCCGCGTAAATTTGTATCCAGTCACACTTATTTATTGACTTCCGACAACGATGTGTTGTTCCATCAAATCAATGCATTGTGTCATTCGACAAAAGTCGCCTAGAATGAATATCAAGTCCATTCTGTTTATTACTTTTTAACACCCCTTTTTACTCATTATCATATATATATATATATATATATATATATATATATATATATATAAAAATATATATATATTGATTTGAATAAAGAAATTTATTTTAACTATTCCATGTAATTGGTTATTAAAGTCACGACATTTTGGGCCATATTCCAGTTTCTATCATGTAGTAATTTCCAAAACTTGAAATGAAATTGAAATCTAGAAAAATTTCTTGTCATTTTATTTTTTACTTATTCTAGAAGAATGTATGAAATTCATTTGACCTTTATTTTGCTATTTATATATATATATTAATTGCATATATATTATATATATATATATATATATATTTATATTACGCTCTAAATTGAAACAGCCCCTTAAGTTTCCTTTCTTTCACAATACAGCGACATTTTTAAACCCACTGGATTGACAGGGTGTAATCGATTTTTATTTTTTCCTCGGATAGGTCATTTCCTGTGGTGTGTAGTAATATGATTCTAATTTCAAGAATGTGATCAATCTACAAGGAAAGACTTCATGGAATGAACATACGAAGTACTAACATGTGCACTGGGTCATGTTTTATTGGAAAAATACGAAAAAAAGTAGTAAATAATAATGGACTTCATTTTGTTTCAATTAATTTGTAAAAGGTCATATATATATATATATATATATATATATATGATAAGAAAAGAAAAATAGGTTTATAAATTTATATTTATTTGTCGCTTAACCTATCGTCGGGATTCAAATCCATATTTGAATCACCAAGATCCCATAAAGTCTCTGTTTTCGAAATTTAAAAAAAGTATTTTAAATTTGTTAACTGACAAATAAAACAACCTGTATATTTGATTCAATTCATAGAAATATGAATTCCTTTATGCAAATTAACTGAAATGCAACGAGTTAGTTTTTAGGGACCTTTCAAAAGATGGTTTATTTTAGACCCACTGGAATGACATGATGTAATCGATTTCTTTTTTTTTTTTAATCAGATTAGGTCATTTGCAGTGGTCGGCAGTAATATGAATTTATTTTCGGGGGGTGTGATGAAACATTTTTCACCTTGAAAAATATTGCATTATCCGGGATTGCATCAGATTTTTTTCACGCCCTGACACTATTGTCTCTACTGTCGATTACTTGTCCTACGGCCATTGTCTGCGATGAACATTACTCCAAGGATGCGTACGAAAATTGTAACGCTGCACGACATCACTGTCAAGCCTTACCAGTAAGCAAATCAAAGTACTACAGACTGGCCCGGAAACTCTCCTGATTTAAATCCAATCGAGAATCTGTGGTCAATCTGCAAGGAACGACTTCGTGGAATAGACATGTGCATTGGGTTATGTTTCGTTGGAAAAATATGAAAACAGTAAATAATAACGGAATTATTCATTTTGTTTCAATTAATTTGCACAAGGGTGTAGGTGATCATGCCTCTCCACATCTTCCTGTATAATTATTTTGCACAAGGGTGTACATTAACGTGCTGTTTACTAATACCATACTAGTAGGAAGGAAGAACTTCACATCAGAATCTTCACCAATGGTTGACCTGCCAATGCGAGGGTTCAATCGATTGATTGATTGATTTATCAACATTTTGCAGGTTATTTAGAAGCACAAAATATTTTTAGTTTCTAAGAATTTGGTAGGGTAGTGGGGAGATGATAATGGTTTGGTAATACAAGTATTACTAATTAACCCATAACTGGGGGAGAAGAGTTGGATTCACATTCGACTCTTTGATTAACAATTCCAAGCCAGTATCCATTTACACCACCCGCACATCCAACCTTACAGCACCTGATATTCCCAAGCGGTTGCCCATCTAGGAACTGACTGGGCTCGACGTTGCTTAACCTCAGTGACCGTATGGGAATTCGACTCTCCGATTAAGAATTCCGAGTCATTATTCATTACACCACCCCCACATCTAAACTGACAGCACCTGGTATTCTCAAGTGGTTACCCATCTAAGTACTGACCAGGTTCGACGTTGCTTAACTTCAGTAATCGTACAGGAAATCGACTTTTCGATTAACAATTCTAAGCCATTATTCATTTCACCACCCGCACACCCAAGCTTACAGTACCTGTCATCCCAAGTGGTTGCCCGTCTAGGTCCTGACCAGGCCCGACGTTTGATTTGGTGCTGATTTCTGGTGTGTTTTAGATTGAAACCTTATCTCATTCATTTGCGAGTCAGACTTTGTTGAATGTTGAATGTTTTGTCCAAAAATGAATGCCTTAAAGATGGAGGATGAATAGTTGGACTTTTACCATATTATACTCTAAGAGTAAGCGTCGGAATGGCGGCAAAAAATTTTAGAATTTTTATTTGGATCGTGTTCCAGATATTCTAACGGTCAAAAAATGGTTTGCCATATTTCGTTAGGGTGATTTTAATCTAAACCATTAACCACGCACCGAGTGGCATTCCAACGTCAACGAAGACAATATTTATAAAATATCTCCTTGCTATCAAATGAACATACATGATTAATAAAGTTTGAAAAACGATATCTCAACTACCTTTCACAGACCTAGGTTCAAGAAAAACGGGCAATTTTTCCAAATCGAAAAGATGCCATTATCCACCACGACAACCCAAGACAGCATATTACAAAAAACAGACATTGCAGAAGGTTAAAATTTGAAATGGAAAATCTTCCAGCATTCCACGGTATTCCTCCTGATTTGCTTCCTTCTGCTTTTTCATTGACTCTACATAACACTTTAAATCCGAAAAAAATTGACCCTGTATAGACAAGCTGAAAATTATCTGGGAAACTTCATACAACAAATAACACGAATTTTCTACGAAAATGGCTTGTAGAACGATTGGGGACAGTAGTTAAAACTGATTTTTTAACCATCAGGACGCGATCCTCCTAAATGCACCGTCTAAATATTATCACCGCATATATATATATATATATATATATATATATATATATATATATATATATATATATAGTGGTAAATATACATACATATGCAAAATACATAAATACCCATACATGTATATTTTTTGAATAAAAATTTCAAGAGAATAGAATCCAGGTAGAACTCAATGTCCAAAACAGAGTAAAGGAATAGTAGTTTTTAAGCCTTTTTTTTTATATATATATATATATATATATATATATATATATATATATATATATATAATGCAACTGAAAAGATATGATGCTCTCTTTATCGCACATTCGATTAATCCTGTTTTTTTTTTTGGGGGGCGATTTTTTAAGAAAAAAATCGCAAAAAACAATAAGGACAGGTTTTACACTAAATAAGCTGCACAAATAATTGAATTGAAATAAAATAAGTTCATATTTGTGCGTGTTATTTGTTTTATTTCATAACATTAAAATACTTATCCTTTATTGTCAAAGACACACACACACACACACAATATATATATATATATATATATATATATATATATATATATATATATATATATATATATATATATATATATATGTGTGTGTTGTGTGTGTGTGTTGTGTTGTGTGTTTTAAATAATGAACAGCTTTAGTATTTGAATAAATGAATAAGTATTAAACTTTTTTTCAAATAATTCTTTTCATTATTCTTGATATACTTTAGATTTCAATACACGTCAGCTAAAAAAGGCTTTATCAGTTCCATTGCAATTTTCTACTTCTTCTTTCTCAACCCTAAATAACATCAAAAATAAGAAGCGCGAAAGACTACGCTCAACGGAAGAAGAAATGAGGGTCTGCTTATCGCACATTCAACCAAACATGGAAGAAATGGCGGAAAAAAGTAATAAACGCCAGGCTCAGGTTTCACACTAAATAAGCTGCAAAAATAGTTGAATCGAAACACTGAAATAAATCAAGTCAATATTTGTGTGTGTATTTTTTTTTTAAATCTATGGTTTTATTTCATACCATTTCTATGCTTACTCTTTACAAATATTAAGTACTAGCAGTAGAGCCCGGCGTTGCCCGGGGATGTAACAGTAAGAGATAGATCAAGTATCGAACCATCATAAAGACTGAAAAATAAAATTGACAAAGATTATTGTTTAAGGTTGACGGACACGCATGTCTTAATTAGTTGTTTTTTTTGTTTTGTTTTGTTTTGTTTTTTTACGAATTGGTCAAACTCAAACAAAAACATTGTTTTCAATCGTTATGAGTCTATCGATTGAATAGAATTTTATTATAAACAATTGTCTTGTAAATGGAATTTTTAAAGCATTCTGAATGTCAAAATAAAGAAAAAAGTGTTCAAGACAATAAGAAACACTACCTGCCAAAAAATAGTGAAGTTTTGTTGGAAAAAGTAGGAAATCCGATCCCATATATAAACGAACACACACACACAAACAACCTGGGTTTTATAAGTATAACTCGATATGAGTTGCCCACCTTTCATTCTGGCGACAGAATATGTTTTATCGTGTTTTCAAATTGATTTCATGCAAAAACAATTGTGTTTTTTCAATTTTGGGCGCTGTCAGAACCACCACAAGGTAATTTTACGCAGTCCTGCGAAGTTTTGTTGAAATCGGTTGAAAAATGTAGGAAATCCGATCCAATATATAAACGTACACACACACACACACACACAATCTGCGTTTTATAATAAGTAAGATGCCGTGATATTTTCATTGGCTCCTATGTGTGCCGTCGCTTTTAATAAGGCAGAGAAACAATGGAGACTATGTATTTGACTAATAAATATTTTCCTTTGTGAGTATGTAAAAATATACTTGTATTATTTACATTGTTCGGACTTTTGTCCTCATTTTTATTGTCATATTCACGAATTTCCCCCCTTTTATTTAAAAATTCTTCATATTGATGGAATTTCCGAAATGAACCATTTTTCCGTCCACCTTTTTCAGATGTTCTAGTTCCACGTACCATTTTCTTCCGGATTCTCAAATGTTTTTTCCCGTTAATAACTCAACTCTCCAAGATTTTTGGTTCGCCATTGCTATGGCCTGGGATTGAACTAGATCTCTTTGGGTCTAAATATTGGATCTAACCAACGTCATTATTAGAAATATTCATAGAAATATGATTTAATTTTTTTTTTTACTCGGTTTACTAAACAGGTTGTTGATTTTTTTTTTTAAACGGAAAATAATTGAGTTGAAAATAATTCACTAAGATTGTACTTGGACGATCCTAAGGGAAGAAGAAGGAAGGGGAAAAGAGAGAGGTCGAGAAATACAAAAAAAAAAAACCCGGTCATTAACAAAAAACACGAGTCAGAAAGATATCTTAGCTAGCATGTTGACCGAATTTTTTTAAAGACAATTGGAAGAATAGAATTAGAAATAATAAGAAGAAAGAAAGGGAAAAAAGACATGATATCAAAACGGGCCGCTTGATGGAAGCCAGATATCGGTCAAAGCACCTAGCCTACTTTTGCATGGAAAGACTCATTGTCAAATTGGAGAAAGGGAAAATTTAGAACAATAAAACAAATCTTAATCAGAGAAAAAGTGTTTTTTTGGGTTGAGGGGAGTGACCGGTGGAACTATATACAGATCCTGACCTGTTAAGAATTGGACACCCACGATAATAAAGTGGAGACATTTTCAATGTAGATAATTAAGATTTTTGACTATCAGGAAAAACAAAGAGGTAAAAAGAGGGACAATTGCTTTTGGCTCACAGAGGGCGCCAAGAAGGCGGAAAAAGATCCTTTCTGAAGTCAAGTCTAATTAGCGGCGGGCTGTTTGACAAAGTCCAGGTGAGAGAAGGCCAAGATGGTCATTTTTCGTACGTGCGAAAAAAAAAAAAAAAAAAAATTAGATTTTTTTTTTTAGAACAAGAACGATATAAGCCACGCCCCAAATTGATTGCAGGAAACGCCCAATCAGGATCTCATTAGCCGAAAACGGTCACGTGGCTGCAGAAAAGAAAAGAAAGAAATGCTCAACCAGAATCCCATTAGCCGAAAACGGTCACGTGGCTGCGGAAAAGAAAAGAAAGAAATGCTCGATCAGAATCTCATTAGTCGAAAGCGGTCACCTGACATACGAGAGACCGAGAGAGATGGATATGCGCCTCCCCACCAAAAGCACTATGAGGAAGTAGGGGTGAAAACAATAGCGATAATGGGGAAATCAAAAATAATGCGACTTTTGGAGTTATCGAGAAAACCCTGACGCCGACAGACCCACCCCAGTTTGTTGCGGCGTCAATAAAAGCAGGACCCCAGTCGACAGAAATCAGTTGGAGTTGGAGTTGAGAGTTGCAGCTGGACCGCGGGCAGGGATAGAGCCTGAACGCGGCCATCAGGCCCGATTCACTCGCCCCTTTGCGGGCAAAAGAATCCTCAGACAAGAAATCCTTCCAGCCCAAGTCGAAGACAGAAGAGTTCAGCCCCGGACGGCAGCGAGAAGAGATCACCTCCACGACAGAGAGTTGCAGCTGAGTTGCGGCAAGAGATCCTTCAGCCCAAGTCGAAGACAAGAGAACTTCCAGCCTAAGTCGACGAAGAAGAAGAAATACAACCCAAGTCGAAGACAAGAGAACTTCCAGCCTAAGTCGACGAAGAAGAAGAAATACAAGAGAACTTCCAGCCTAAGTCGACGAAGAAGAAGAATCAACTCAAGTCGGAAGAAGAATCAACTGCGAATGATCGATAGAAATTAGCCCCAGTGTCGAACCAAACCACACTCCGACATACGCAATTCTAAAGAGTAGGCAATTCGAAATCTTTAGGTTGTGTGATAGAAGCTTGGTGCCATAGTCCACAGAGCGGGTCGGGAAATGAGAACAATTTTGTTTTTATGTAACGGACATTAAGATATAAAAGGTTGTTACCCATTTTTTTCATCAGCAATCTTTTTTGTCTCGTGAGTTTATTTTCTTTTTATTTGTGTTTTGCCACCCCGTCGGACTCAACTTGTATCGGCCCCAATCCCTGCTGGTCCCGTCTGTCTAAGATCTAAACACAGCGTGGGTAGACAGACCGGAGATCGGTACAGTTGCTTTAGTGACCAGGTATTGGAAGCGAGTCGGGAAAGGCG